ACTGGTCTATTGGTTAATGTTTAAATTTTATGTGTTCCCATTCCCAATCCTTTTCTCTTGCTTAAAAAAAACTTTATTCCCTTTTTTAAGAAACTTTAGTATAACACTATTTTCCTTTAAGAAAAGATTTCTAGAACGTACTTTGCCTCTACGTCTTTACATATAAAAATTCAATTGTCATTTCTTGCTTTTCAATTTTTATGCTTTTCTTAATTGTATCTATTACTCCCAAGTTAGTACTATTTACTGTAATTAAACCTGTTTTGGATTTTACTGTCTTTGAATTTCCTACAAGATTGGCTTGTAAATGTTAACCATAGCACTCGAGTCTATATAACAACCCCAAATTGGTTTGAAATTGTCAAAACTAAAACTCCTGGACATGATTTAACATTTTAACACAAACAAAATCATTTTTATTAAAATTTTCTTCCTCCGTTTTATCTTTGAATGGTTTCGAACACGTATAAACCTTGGTTCCCCAAACTTGTTTGAAGTGTTAAATTTACACTCTTCTAGCCCGTGCCCTTATTTTTTTATAAAGCCCAGCATTTAATAATTTTTCTTTTCTCAAAAGTCCTTTCTTTTAAGGCCTCAATTGGAAGCTCAAACGTTTTGCCGACCCCAATACTACTGTATGCCTGATAGAGAAATGTTCATGTGATTCCTCTTTGTGCATTCATAAGAATCTTTTTTCCTACTTCTTCCGGTAACAAGTTTAGTGCAATTGCTACTAACACATCGTCAGGTATCGTCGCTCTTCTACCCATACTCGTCATTCGGTCAAGAAATGCTAATATTGTTTCTTGCCAGTCATATTTCGTTTTTGCCGGCTCTTTTATAATCGTAAATGCTGCTATTTTTCTTACAAATGATTTCTGAAAGTAAATATCAGCCCATCCAACAACCTCGCCGATTCAAAAGAACAGTATCCAAAATTCTCGCTCTCCGCGTAGTAGTCCCATCCCGAAAGCATACACAGTTCTTATTTCATTCCGATATTAATGTGACTTAACAACTGCATGTTCCCAGTGTATGCTTCTGGACTTATTTGCTTATCACCTTCAATTATGATCAAGTTGTTTGACGTTGACGCCAAATTGTCGTAGACATTTTCATTAAACATGTTTTATTAAATAATCATTTCTTTTAAGCCATTTTTCCTGATCTTACGTCAAATCGAAACATGAACTAGATTTCTATACCAAAACTTCCTAATTCTTATTATGTTTTGCTAGATATAATTATAACATATTTGCAACTGTAAAACATAATAAAACATGTTTCATTTTTTAATTATAGTTCTCAACACATACTATTGTAAGAAAATGTTGATAGAAACCCACCAAATTATTTGTAATTTTACAACTGTATTTACTCTCTTATCACTCCAATTGCTTATGTTATTGTTAGACTTTTGCCTTTAAAATCTAAATATTTTTTTACGATTATTTATACATCAATCAAATATGCTAATTAGTTTAAGCTTTTGCATTAACATTCTCTTTGCATTAAAGTAATTTTTAAAAAAACAAAACAAAGATTTTAATAAAATATGCTTATGAAAAATTGATTTGATTGTAATTAAAGATTACATTAAATTCTTTAAAATCATGTTTATTCTTAAAAAATCAAAAAGGATGTTTCATAATTACGGCCTTTAATTGAATTTAATAAAATTAAGCTTATTTTATAAAATTTAAGAATTTAAATTAATAAGTTTTGTTTGTTTTAAATGTGAATTATTTAGACAAAAAAACAAGGATTGATTTTTTTAAATAAATTTAATTAAATTTTAAGCTTAAAAAGAAAAAAAACTTTAACCTTGTCATGCTATCGATTTTTCTACAGCTTTTTTGTTACGCTTATCAAAAGGCCAGTTCTGGTAAATAACAGAATATTTGCCAACAGTTATGTTCATTTTTTGGTAGTCAGTTGGATTGTAAAGAATATTTTTTAATTAAAAAATCTTCTAAGAGTTTGTATGTGTGTGTGGGAATTCGTGATGAATTTGTTTTGTGTTCTTATTGGAATTTCGAGATACAAAAAAGTGAGGGGCAGATGTTTGGAATCGCTTACGCTGGAAATAAATTAACGACTAGGTTTAGAACTTTTATGCATGGTTTTTCTAAATCTTTTAATGTTGATAATGTTTTTATTTACATTGTAAAAGATGATCTTAATCATTTATGCGGAGGAGATGTGCAGGAGAGATTAATCTCTGCACTAAGAATGTTGTCGAAAAAAGAATCATGACCAAAATACTACTTTAAAGGATATGTGTCCAACGAGGAAAGCTTAATAGCTAGGACTTGCAAAAAAAATATTGAATGGGAAAATCAGTTAGAAAAATTTAATATTGATGGCAATTTAGACATAAGACGAGATGTAGATAAAGATTTTTATTTTGTATTTGATATAGATTTAAGTTATTTTAACTTTAAGCCATTGCTTAAGGATAATATAATCTAAAGGTTTGACGACAAGAATGGGATAGTATACAAATTTTTAATTAATTTCGATTTTGTTTATTCATTTAATATCAAAGAGCTAGTGGATAGGGTAATATCAGACAAATATGTTCTATTAAATTTCAAAAAGTTGTCTTGTGAAAAATGCAAAGACAAATTGTTGTTAAGAGAAGGAATTTTCAATGCAAAATTATCAAATAAAGCTGCACATGCCCATCTAGAATGGATTGATAAGACTTATAAAAAATAATCATTGCATAGAATATATTGAAGAATTTGAAGGCGAAGGGTTAGAAATGATTTTGATTTTTATGTTTTTAATATAAAGACGGGAAATTTTTAAGCTTTTACTACTAGCACATGTTTTAAGTAGTAAACTCAACCTTAAAAAAATTCCTTGCCGAAATTTTGTTCAAATTAAATGTTATTGATAAAGAAACAATGGAAAATTCAATTCAAAGAAAGAATTTACTAAATTTACAGTCATGGAAGATAAAAAATTGATGATAAGTTTTTAGCGCCTTTATTAAAATTAACTAATATGTCTCCATTTTATTATACGTTGATAAGATATTTATTTATAATTTTGTTACAAAAATGAATTTGTTAAAAAAGATTGTAAATAAATGTAAGATTGCTTAAGTACATATTACTTGGATTACGAAAAACCATTAGTAGATTTTTTTTAAAAGTCAAAAAACGGCACAAAATCTCCTTTAGTCAAGAAATTTACAATGAAATCATAAAAAATATCTTTGTTGTTATATTATTTTATTTATATAACTTCTAGCGATTACAAGCGGAGTTTTACGAATTACGTTTACCAGAAATTAAGTACGCGGTGTAAAAAGATAATGAACTTTCGCAAAAATCCTGCGAGACGGATTTAAAGAGAAGAAAGAAAACAAATTGCTGCTTTATATAAGAAAATGGAGAGTATTGTTGCAATAAGCTTGAAAGAAGCGTCATGAATGTGGTTTAGTAAAACTTTTTGTTGGTATTAAACATGGGTTTATTTATTATAAATTATTTAACTAACAACATGTCAGATATCTCATGATATAGGAAGATATCTTTGACATGTGTTGAAGGCATTCCTACACTTTTAAATTTTATTTATGACATTACAGATTTGATATGTTATATGATATAAAATGTTTGTCTAAGTTTCTAGCACAAAAGTTTTGCATTCTTCATTTTCAACTTAATTAATCAAGCATGTACGGAACTTTTAATCGTAAGATAACTTTGTGTGCTAAAAAACGGATTATATAAGTGATTTATAAAAAAAGTAAAAATGTAATGTTTAAATATTATTATTTACAAGTAACAAAAAGAATCTAAATTAATATATAAATTATTAATTTAAATATCAAATTTATTATTTTTTTCTAATCATGCTAAATAAGCCTTGTGTAAACAACGGCTCTCGTTGGTCTTACTCTTTGGCTTTCGCTATTTTGTATTCTCTTCAATACTACATCGAAATTCCCCCAAGAGTCTTCTTAAACTTTACAAATTAAATGTAAGCTTCTATTTTAGCACTCTTTCCAGCCCCACCATTTTTAGGGTGGTATTTACTTATTATGCCGTGTCACATTATTGAGCAATATTAGTACTTAACATAATTGGGGTTTAATATTATAATAGAATATAATACTCCCGCTACAGAAGGTTGGTCTCGTCTTTTAAAAGGTACTTCCTTACTAATTCCTTTCGAGTCATGAATTCTTTTCTTTGCATAACTCCCATTTTCAAGTCTCACGTTATAAGAATTTTCTGGATGGTCCTCAACCATTATACTCAGATCTAAAAATCTGCCTTTAATGTATTTTTATTATATCCTTTTAAATTCTCATTCTTAGCAACTCTAACCTTTTTGTGTTTAAAAAGTTGTTCCATATATCAACGACTAAACCTCTTGGAATAACATTCTTGGGGACTATTCTCTATCAAAGCTGTTCCGTCTCATCCCTACAGCTTCTACTGGAGTGCACTTTATTCCTGCGTAGAAACTTAACTTACATTTCTCAATTGCTTTATAAACTTTTTCTGTAAATGATTCCTTCTTATTCCTCAATATTCCATTTCTTATTTCCTATAATTCTTTCAATCCTACCATTACTTCCGTGTTGCTCTAAGCTTATCTTCCTGTGTTCAATGCTTAAAATCCCGCAAAGCTTGCTCATGTTTTCATTACAAAATTCTTTGCTGTTATCGGTTAATACTTTCTCTAGTTTCTTACCCTTAGTACATAAATACTTCAAAAAGAAATTACTTTAGATGTATGCTTGCTTTTTATAACTTTTCCCCATAATCTTCTCTAACTATGACAAAAACTCCTTCTTCTCCAAATTCAATATCAACCTTTTCAAAATATCTTATTGTATTTATAAAATCACTGCCTCCACTCGTCTTTCTGTTCTACTTCTGGTAGGTCTCGCATCTCTTTAAAACTTTTTTATCTGATCTTTTATTCCTGGCCAATAGTATTACTTTCTTAACTCTTAATATACTGTAATTATACTTCTATGGTTTAACTTCAAATGGCAATAAATAATCAATTTTTCTCGGGTGAAATCTCTCATTCTCTTCAGCTTTAAAAACCCATATCTCTTTTCTGTCAACGTATTTGATGGATCCTAGGTCGGAACGGTGCTTGTTCTGAATATAAACACCAAACAGACTAAGCTGTTTAAAAGAATAAGAATTGCTGGAAGGCATATTTATTTGATATAAATTTCTTTTTATGGTTTTGGTTCCTTAATCGAACCCAACAACTTCTAAGATATTAATAACGATGTAGCAGAACCAATCATTTGCTTAGATGTTACCAAAAGATACGCCTTTTATAACACCTTTATTGCTATTGGTGCTCGTGTGCACAACATCCTTCCTCTTCTTCATTAGGCGCAGTATTTTGATGTTTATCCATTAAGTTGTGTCATCTGTGCTTACTAATACTCTGTTGTTATTTTTGTTTATGGCTTGTGTTCGAAAAGGGCCTAGTTATGGGCCGCTTGTTTTTGTCGCCACAGTATTTCTAACCCACACGTATTCGCCAGGCATATAAAAAAATTGTAATCTGGAGGCATTACGAGTGAGTAACGACTGGTCGGCGCCTAGTTTAATATTTAAGCTATGCCTTTGAGGTTAATTTTAAGTGTTTTGTGTAGCGGGTCAAGTTGGCTAGTGCGATAAAGCACATCGTATGGGGAGTATTTAAGTGTTCTGCAATGTGTTAAATTAAATGCATATTTATCTTTTGTAGAATAGCTGTGAGCTTTTGCTTTTTTAAATTCGTATAACGTCTCCAAGCGTTTAGTTAAATCGCTCTGAAATGCTGTTTCCTATTGTATTGTAGGTGGATGTGATTTTATGCTTTATATTATATTCATGTAGCGCTCGTTTAAATTCTTGATTTGTATTGTCTTCTTTGATTGAAAAGAATTGTGTCAAGTGCACCGTGGTTGATTATTCTAAGTGTCTAGATATCTTTGTACAAAGATAGTGGTGATTCTACGAAGATGACAAACCCTGATTATCTAAAAGACATCTGTTATGATTAACAGAAAGATTTTTTTTTATTAGGCGTTTTTGGTAACGCGAATGTGCCATAGATGTCTGTTGAAATGTCTTTAAATGGTGCCTTTGCTTCGATACGTTCTTTCAGTGGACCGCATTTTATGTAGAGATGTTTATCATCTGGTAGGAAGGTATTTTGCTTTAATTTGCGCTATCTGTTCTTTTATCCTCATAATATGCAGGCAATTTATTATAGTGTAATAAAGCTTATTCGAGCCCGAATGTGTCAGGTACCTATGGATGGAGTTTAATAGCGATACAACTAGAGAATCAGGAATTACTATTTGTGACCCTTTATCAACAATAATACCATCTTCGTCTTCAAGAACTAAGGATTTATACATTTTTAATAAATTTTGTCAGAGATGTTTTCGCGCTTTTCGTATTTCTTGTATTGAAAGCGCACAATTTGTTATTGTTTAGATTGTTAAAACTCTTGAGAGACGGTCGGAAACTTGGTTTTGTTCGCATTTAATATGACTAATCCCGTGGTCGTATTCTTCCAGCAATAGTTTCCATCGTTGTACTCTTTGATCGTTGCTTTCTGTTGTGAATATGGGTTTTTATCTTCTATATATATACTCTGATTTCGCTTAACAAAATTATTTGTTTAAAGTATTCTAGTGCCTTAATGAGTGCAAGGCATTCCTTTTCCGTCGTTGTGTATCTGTTTTAGTGTCCGATAATGTTCTGCTGAAGAAGCCGGTTGGGTTTCCATCTTGTTGAAATGGGGCTCCGATGGCGCTATCTGGCACGCCTGTGAGAGCGAGAAGGGTTTTATCGGATCTGGGGTATGTAGTAAGGTTTTCCTCTTTATCTGACAAATTATATCTTCAAGAGTGCTGTTGTCTTCTTTACTTTATGTAAACTTTATGTTTTTCTTTAACTTTGCGTTTATGTTAACAAGTTTATTGCTTAAGTTTTTGACAAACGGTCGATACCAATTTATCAATCCGAGGATCGATCTAAGCTTTTGAACGGTCTTAAGCGCGCTGTTTTTTGGCCTGTCAATTCTGGACGTGTCGGGTTGAGTTTTTTTGCGCTTACTTTATATCCTAGATAGGATACGGGTTCTTTTAGAAAGCTACTTTTTCGAAATTGACGTCTGCGTTGTTGTTATGTAGTCTTTCCAACATCTACTTTAGATGCTTAAGGTGCTCTTCTACGCTCTTGCTAAACACTAGAATATCATCTGGTGTTATATTCTATTATATTATTAAACCCCAATTATGTTAAGCACTTATATTTATTTAAAATTTCAATGAGATATACATGGCAAGTATCGCAGTGGAATTCATCTTGTTACATGTAAAAGCATTTTCGATTTCGGTTTCCATATAAGAATATTTAAATATAGGTTTTGAAAATAGAAGTCTATCTATAATGTAAAAAATATCGACTTTCAAAATTTGTAACAAAAAATGCGATGTGCGTTGTTGCTCGAAAGCGAGCTGGGCTCGCGATATATAGCATAATATACGTAGGGCTGTACACAATCTATCTAATTGGTCATTAGAGGTAGAGTAAACTAATTAAAAAAACATAAAAGGGCAAAATAAATAAAGGAAAAGGGGCCGGGGCTCTGGATCTCCCTGTAGGCTGTAGGTGGGTGACCAACTGGGCTCCTGGCCCCTTTTTTGTACCTTTTTGATGATGAAAACCTTATTAGAAAAAATAATCAAGACAAATGAAGAAGAAATAATTTATCTTCTTTTTGGTTACAAGCTTTTTAAGGACAGGCAGGTATGTATACATTGTAATGTGAATATGCACCTTACATCAAATAAAAAAATACAAGATGGGTCTGAATGAAGGTGTTGTCATTACAGTTGTCAACGTTACCAAACCACTCTTTCTGTTAGGTTAAATCTTGGATGTCCGCCTTTAGAACAGACTTTAAAACCTTACTTAGAGCCATATACTTTTATTAATGTGGAGATAGTCAGAGAAATATTATTGAATATTTGGATATTGGAAAACGCCCCACCAATTAATTAACAAAATTCAATTTTAGAACGTATTAAGATGTATTTTTAGACCAATCCGGTGAAGTTGGGGACCAAATGTTATAGTAAAAATAGGTGAAACTAAATTTAACTTCGTGGTAGAATATCACAATAAAAAATTTTTTATCTTTATGAATTTTCTAGAATTTTATTTTCTATAAAATAAAATTTTAGATAGAAGGATACACAAAAATTTAACATGAAAGAATACCTATATAACGATGAGAAAAACATGGTAATCAATAAAGCACCATTAATAAATAGTTACTTAAAAATATATTTTAAGACGGGACAGTTGACTTTATCTTCCCACCAACTTTGATTTTAAAAGTCACAGAGGTAAATCTGCCGGTCTTTGTTGGTGTTTTTGTATTGTTGATACCTCCCATAAGTTTGCCTTGGGATACGCTACTATAGTTGAGTCCCGTTCGGCCAATGTCCTAATTCCTATAATAAATTAAGTGGTTAAAGCCGGCAATATAATTCATTCTGATGAATGGAAAGCATATAGAAGTTTAGCAGATAATGATACATATTATTACGCTACTGTCTGCCATAAGTATAATTTTGTTGATCCTATATCAGGCGTGTATACCCAGCACGTAGAATCTTATAATAACAGACTAAAAAGAGAAATCGGAGCCAGGAAAAGATTTAAGCATAATACAAAGAGAAAAACTTATATTAGAATTTATGTTTAGGGAAGAAGTTGTTGTAGAAAAGTTTATATCTTTTATTAAATTATTGGAATATAATTTTTTTTCCGGGACATATAGCACCTGATCCAAAAAAAGTAACAAGATGGGCTCGCGATGATTTTTAACCCTTCGTTTATTTAAATTTGTAAAATTCTTTGTACTTTTTATTAAGCAAGAATAACACAAGTATTAAGTTTATTTCTGTAAGGACAGCACAATATTTTTGTGAATTTTCTTTTATTTTATTCGAATAATTTAAATCATAGAATAATGACTATTGCAAAATTTAATCATTGACAATAGTGCATTTTATAATTTTGAACAGTACATGCAAGCCCAAAGACACAACGCAGGTTGAAAAAAGAGCATATATTGTATTTATAATCCCGTTTAAAACGGAAAAGCAGTAGCTATCATCAATCAATCAATATATATAAAAAGTTTGAATCTAAATATTTATTTATTTTTTAACCCTTTTTTTTAAAATTGTGAAATTCTGTTTTAATTTTTATTTAAAAGCACAAAAATACAACTTTAAGATTTGTATATAATTGTTACTAAAAGGATATTATGGGTTTTTTGTATTTTATAGAGGATTTTTCAATTTTTTTGTAATTGCAAATTTTACTTTACAATGTAAGACATTTTGTACTTTAAACAATGCACACAAGCCTTAAGACATGTTACACAATGAAAAATAAGAATATGTCGTGTTTATAATCCCGTTTCAAACGGGATAGCGTTAGCTAGTCAATATATATAAAAAGTTTGAATCTGAACATTTTTTTATTTTTTAGCCCCTCTTTTTTAAAATTCTTTGTATTTTTTAAATACAAGTAGCATAAGTGTAGGGTTTATTTTTCTAAGCACAGCACAGTGTTTTCGTGCATTTTCCCTTGCTTTTATTTAGTTAAATTAATCTTATATAAGGTGTTTATAGCAAATTTTAATTTATAATAAAAAAAATCATTTTGTAATATAAAATAATAAATACAGGCATAAAGTTGCATCATACACAACAAATGTAAGAACACACATTATTTTGATCACGTTTCAAACGGGATAGCGTTAGCTAGTCTTTTATATATATAAAAAGCTTGAATCTGAACATTTATTTTTTAACCCTTCTTTTTTAAAAATTGTAAAATGTGTTGTAATAATTTATTTTGTAATAATTTAATTGTAATAATTTATACTATAACAGTTTATGTTGTAACAATGTTTTATTGTAATAATTTATATTATAGCAGTTTTTTTTTAACAATTTTTTATTGTAGTAGTTTATGTTAAAATAGCTTATGTCGTGATAATTTTTTATTGTAATAATTTAAATTATAGCAACTTTTTTTACAATTTATGTTGAATAATTTATATTATAACAGTTTATATTGTGATAATAATTTATATTATAGCAATTTATGCTGTAATAATTTATGTTATAACAATTTAGTTGTAATAATTAATTTCTAAAATTACTCCAAACCAATAACTGTTTTTATTAGTTCCATTTTATTTACTTCAATTATCTAAATTATTTATATTGGAAAAATAAACAAACTTTAAAACAATTTAAAATATAAAATATTTAATTAACTAAGCTGTGGTCGATTATTTCTGCAAATTTAGAACTCTTCTTTCCTTTGCTTTCTTCATCTGTCGCAGAGCTACTTTTACTACCAGAGGATTTTTTACTCTTCAAACTTGCTTGTGAATCTCCTTCATCATCTCCTTTCGCAAGTGCCTCAGGCTTAGTGCCATTACCTTCATCGCTGAAAAAAAACATAAGAGATACAACTGTAACAAGAGCTACTAAAACCACTAACCCTATAAAAAGAAATATTTTTTTCAATCCAAATCCACCTATCTGCGTCTCTTCATTATTACCAGTTTGTTGTTCAGTATCAGCCATATTAATTATTTTTCTAAAAAAAAATTTTTATATTTTTTTATAAAACACATTGTTTCACATTGTAAACTGTTTTAAAAATTGTTTTAAAAAATCAAAAATTTAATTAATTGTAGTCTCTGGTTCGTGTCTTACGTTTTTTAAATTTTTCATTTTTATAAAATCAATTTTTCCTTTAAGGTACACTAACTTTTCAAAATCAATAGCTCTGTGTTTTAAAGCTTGTAACACTTTATTATTGGCTATTTTTTTCAAAACATCAAGGGCTAAAAGTCTTAATGGGGTAGTTAAAAAATCAACCAATAAAAGACTTAATTTCTCTAAATCTTTAGCTTCCAGATATTTGAGTTGTCTATGTGCATTCTTCTGCATTAAATATTCTGATAGGTATGTGGTGTCTTCAGATTGTATTGAGGACTTAAGTAAAGTGGCAGATGTTTCGTCATCTTCAGTACTAAAAATTTTCTTCTTTTTATTGCTTTTAGACATTGAAGGGGTTTAATATTTAAAAACTAGTGAATGATTATTGTCACTGGAAATGTAAAGACTATATTAAAAATTTACTTTTGTTAATTCATGTATGTAAAGGAAGCGTTTCTTATTGATTGCCAATTTATTCTTTTAAAAGTATAATTTCTATAACGTATTAATAAATTAACTTCTATATATTAATATAATGTATTAATAAAAAACATATAAATATTAAAATAACGGTACAAATCATTCCTAAAACATGTACAAGACATAAGTTTCATTTTTTTTCCATTAAATAAAGAATACGTTACAAATTATGATAATTTTACATATTTCATTTTTATTAGCTGTAGAAATATCAGAAAAAGGCTTTATTTATTCAGTGGGTATGAAAAAGTTCCTATCATTGGACGGTGATCACATTCGTATTCTTCCTAAACATGAAATGCCTGAAGTCTTTGACATAGAAAAAAGAGGTGGTGATGAATCATACAAACTAAAAATCAGGCCATATCCACACCAAGGAGACCAGGTTATTGATAAAGATTGGTGGACTAATAATCACAGGCTTATTTTACACGATCCCACAGAATGGCAAAGTGAAAAATTTACATTTGCACTACTTCCAGAAAATATGATAAAAATAGTTGTCAAAGAAAAATGTGTAGAAGCAGAAGATGAAGGTTATGTAAGAGCAAGATCTTGTAAAGATAATGATAAACAGTTATACCGGTGGATTCCATTTAAAGATAGGTTTGTAGTAGAAGAGTTTGTGGAAAGGCATGGAGGTGTAGTAAGAGGATGGAGAGGACACAAGAAACCACATGGATACGATATAGGCGATGATTTGTACTATCCTCCTAGATTTAGACCAATAAGACCACCGAGACATGATGAAGACAGTAGTTTTGTTCCGCCATACAAACCACCAAGATATCCATCGGGGCACCCGTACCATCCTTCTAATCAACCTGGGCATCCATTATACAGTCCTGATTGTGATCTTGCAAACCCGTCTTACGATTCATTGATAAATGATCCATCATTTGGAAGACCGCCATATCATTCTAATGACCTGTCACTTGGAAGACCGTCATTTCATCCCAATGATCCATTATTTGGAGGGTCATCTTATAACCCCAATTATCCATCATTTGGAGGACCATCTTATAACCCCAACTATCCATCATTTGGAAGGCCGCCATATCATCCTAACGATTCATCTTTTGGAAGACCACCACAAGGTTCGTATATAAATGATCCAAATTTTGGTAAGCCTCCACATTTTAAGGAATCGAATTATCCATCTTTTGGAAGACCATCATATCATCCTAATGATCCATCTTTTGGAAGACCATCGTATCATCCTAATGATCCATCTTTTGGAAGACCATCGTATCATCCTAATGATCCATCTTTTGGAAGACCATCGTATTATCCTAACGATCCATCATCTGGTAGGCCTTCATTTGATCAGTGTTCTGAATTTCCGGGCCAATATCCATCCAATAGTCCCTTTTATCCAAGTCAACCATCACATCCTGGTATCTGGGGACACGAAGACCCTAATTTTAATAGCATTCAAAATTACCCACATGGTTTAATTCCCGAATCTAATGATCCTTGTGATGGCTGTGATCCGATGAGAAGAACGAAGGATTATCGCGGAAATCTGTCGGGTTCGCGTGACAATACTGGATGCGATGAATTAGTAGATAATATAGAAAAAGTTATATGCGATATAAACAGTCTCAATTTTTCAATGTAAACATTTGTCGAACAATACACAATTAAGAAGATTTTTACATTTTTTTAACTTGGCTTTAAATTTTTTAATTAATTTTGTTGTAAATATCTTTTTTGTTAATACATTCTTATAGGTAGTTTTAAATTGTTTTTTTATTGTTATAAATACATTTTATTTATAACCCCTTTAAATGAACAAATAAAGATTTACCCCTTTTTAACACATAAAAACACCTTTTGCTATACCCTAATGGAATTATATGCACTGGTAAATAAATGCACAAGAAAGTTAGAATATCTTGTTATATCATGTGTAGTATGTTTCTATATTCTTTCTATTTATGATACAATTACATCTTCTCACAAAATACTGCCATTATATTTCTGTCTGCTGTCTTTTTATTATTACATCAGGCTTCTTACAAAACACCCAGATATATATTTAGACTTTAATTGTGTAGATAATGTATGTAAACGATGTAACCGTTTAACAGGACGAAAGAGTGTACATTGCGAAATTTGCAACAAGTGTTTTTATAAACGAGATCACCATTGTGTAATTACAGGGAAGTGTATATCGGCAGATAATACACCAGACTTGTATTTTACTGTACTGTTTATGTTCTTATATTCTATTTTAGCTTTATTTCGATCTAGTTGTTTAAAAGAATTTATATTTTTTTATAAGTATATGTGTTTTCTTAGTGGATTTTTACTCGTGTGGCTTACTCTTCTATGTTTGAGTGATAAAACAACAGGTGAATTGATTAAAAATTTTTATATTGCCGATTTTAAGATAAAAAATATGAAAAACTTGAATAAGAATGGAATTTTGTGTGTTGTGCTACCGATAGTATGTAAAACTGTACGGATAATATAAATTAAATATTGCATTTGTATATATATTATTTTTATACATATGAGATATATATTGTACAATATACAGACTAACTGTATATAAATTAACTTTGTTATTTAATTTACTTTTAAATAAAATATATTACAATTTTATAACTTTTAAGTTTATTATTAGTTAACTAATATTTTTACAACTACAACCTTCCCTTTTACTATTTTTCGTCCATATTTTTTATTTTTACTTTATTAATTAACTTTAATAAAGAAAATTTTTCTTTATTTGTTATCAAAGTAAAAAATATTGTAAATTTGTTCTTATAAGACATTAAGTATATGATAAATTACAATATGATCCTTAGCATAAAAATGTAATGAATACAACAATATTATAATTTTTTTTCAAAAAGTTAGTTATTAAAATAAATTTAAAACAGCTAAAGCACAAATAAAATTAAATTTTATTTACGTTTTTTATTTGCTCTCTGATTTTTAATATTAACTTTTATTCTTTCTTTTTTCTCCTTTTTCAATTCGTTAAATGACTTTTCTCCTTCTAAAACAGCTGATTTCAACAGTAAATTTTTTTTACTGTACGGACCAAATCGTGGTATGTATTTTTTTAACTCTTCATCGTACACTAAAGATCCCTTTTTCTTTTTAATTCCTTTTTTAGCAGCAAATGCCTCCCATTTAGTTTTAGCTTGTTTTTCTGAATACTGCATAGGTATTTGGTAATCATTCTGGTCCAGTACATATACAAGATCCAGATCTTTTTGAACTGTTTTGTGTTTTTTCACTTCCTTCTTAAAAAATGCTATCATAGCAGATGCTTCTTTATTTATTTCTGTGTGTATATTATCTTTTAAAGGGAAGTCTACATTTTTTGTGACAGTTAGTAAATTAAGATACGCTTTCATAAGGGATTAATAATAAAATAATTTGAATTATAAAATATTAACTAAATTTTAGAATTAAACTGAAGAAATAAGATATTACTTAAGTTAATATAAATTAATTTGCTGTTTTTATGGATTGTACAGAAAAAGAAAATTTTTAGTTGTGATATACAATTTTGATAGAAATGTTTATGACAAATATATTTACGATTTTATTTAACTACAAATATTTATTTTTAAGCCAACTTTTTGATGCATAATGAAAAAAGTGAAATGATTTTTAATGTCTTAGAGAAGTTAAAAATAATAAAATAAGTTTATTGTCATCTAAGAAAGCTTCTAGGGCACCAAAACTCAAAATCAAATAATTATTGACACACACCAGCACACCACTAGAGCCTTGTTTGTAGGAAGATGGGGAATCCCGTAGGTTTGATAAAATTCAACAGTCATAAAGACTGTGACCTGCAATCAGCGGAATTTGAGTTTCAAAAATTGAAAAGATTTTTAATGCCTTAAAATTAAAAATAAATAATAGGATTAGAAAATGCTGTAAGGGTGGACATACTTGTCTATTATAGATTAGCTCGGTGTTTGTTAACAAATAAATAATTATTAAGGCTTTGGCACCTTTAATCCTCCTAATTTCATTGTATTTTTAATTTCATTATTGAAAAAAACTGCTTAATTGCTTTATTGACAGTTAAAACGAAATATTGTAGCAAAACATCTACAATTTTATATAAGCAATACATCTACAATTTTATATAAGAATAATAAATGCTTTACAACCAACTATCTAAAAATGACATCTAGACGTAAAAAAATAAATGAAAAGTATCAATAATATTTTTATTGGTTTTGCTTTCTTCCTGAAATGGGCAGAAAATTATTGAAATTTATAAAATTTTATTGTTTCTCAACAAAAAGTTTCTGTTTAAAACATTTTATAGACAACGGTACAATTACTATTTTACATTAAAGTAAGAATTTTATTTATTAAAAATATTTTCTAATTCTGATCTTCTATTTTGTAGTACACACTCAATTATCCACAAAATATTTTTTACTTCTTGCTCTTTAAGTTTCAAATATGCATAAACACATGTTACATCATTATGTATTCTAAATGACTCCTTATATTTTTCTAATTCCCTTTCCATAAAGTCACTGTACTTAAAATTTACAATATCATCTAATGTTTCAGCTTTTATAAATAACTCGATAGTCTTACCATCAAAAGATGTTATATTAGGAAATAGACTCTTTCTATCAGTGTTAGTATTTAGTGTATTAATAGTCATATCTAAAATATATCTATCTGCTTCTACTCTTAGGATTTCTTTCATAAAAATATCTGTATCCTTTAGTGACTCATATGTATCTTCTATAAGATACTTAAGAAATAAAGCCTGATATTTTTGGAAATCATTATCTTTAAAATCAGTAGCCCATTTCACTCTGTAGAAATATTTCTTAAGAAATGAATTTTCAACACAGAACATTCTTACATCATGCATATCTTTACAAAACTTAAGGGTCTTAAGTGCGTTAAAATCTCCTATCTCTATTTTATTATATGATTTTTCTAGTTCTGGGTCTCCCATCTTAGACTGTAGAAGAAAAAAGAAGTTGTGTATCATGTGATTCTCAATCCAATAATCAAGTAATATTTTTAGTGTATTATCATTACAAAAAGACATACAGCTATTATATTCCTGTAATATAGTCTTATTAAGTCTCTTTCTAATCTCATTTTTAGTCAACTCCATGTCTTCTGTAATAAATTTATAATTTTTCATAAGTTTTATAGAAAATTCTTCTATATTCTCACACTGTTTGAGACTGTTGTAGTCTTCTTCTTTATAAAGTGAAAGTTCTTTACCGAAAATAGAAGATATTAAATATCCGTAATTTTCTGTACACTCAAATTGATAATTCATAAGTAGGGTTATTATTTGTAAATAAATAAAATAAATTTATTGTCATCTAAGAAAGCTTCTACGGCACAAAAACTAAAAATCAAATAATCAGTGTTATTATTTGTAAATAAATAAATAAAGAACCAATAAATAATTATTATTAGGTTATAAAAATGATTATTTTTTAACAATTTATGTTAATGATTTTTTTATTTTTAAAAATGAACAATTTATAGTAATTTTTTATTGTTTATAAAAAATCATAGTAGAACACTTACTTGTAAAAAGTTTATTTTCTTTGAAACAAATAAAGATTAAATAGTTCTTATTAAAAAAATAAAACCCTTATTTAGTAACAAATGAATATTAAGCTTTTTTCTGAAAAAATAGAAAATTATATAAAATCTCAAAAAAGTAATGTGCATGAAAATATAATTTACTGTTTTAAAAATGAATATTTAAAAGATCTTTTAAAACCTACACTACTACAAGGAAATCCACAGGTAGATAATTATACAGAAATATTTATAGAAGAAGAAAATATTTATCATAAAAATAGTCCTATTTTTTTATATGGAGAATATATTAAATTATCAAGGGAAATGACACAGACACCTTTAAAAATAAAAGGAAAATTGAAGTGTAAAAGAAGTGTATCAGATTTTATTAATCAAATTAAAGAACACTATAAATCTAAAGATGTAAAATTTATACCATCTGGTAGAGAAGATATAGATGTAAAAATGATAGGAGGTCGTCCTTTTCTTCTTAAAGTAGTAGAACCAACTTGTAATTTATTTAATGATCGTATTAGTTTACATTTGTACGACAATGTAAAAATACAAAATTTTATGCAAGTCACAAAAGACATAAAAAAACTTATTTTGTGTGGTGAAAAAGAAGAAAATAAGGTTTATAGATTATTTATAGCAAGTAAAAAAGAAATTATATTTGAAAAGGAATATAAATTATTGCAAAAAACACCTTTAAGAGTTCTCCATAGGAGAGCTAATTTAGTTAGAAAAAAATATATTGAAATTTTAGAGACTAATTTATGTAAAGATTTGCAAAATGATTTTTGCTACAGTGAAGACTTAAAAAAGGAATTTAGCGAAAATATTCTACCAGTAGATTTTTACTACTACACTGTTATTCTTAAAGCATCGGCAGGGACATACATTAAAGAATTTGTACATGGAGATTTAGGAAGGACATGTCCTTCACTTTCAACTAATGATAATTTATGTGACTTATTATTTTTAGATGTTCTTAAAGTAGAAAAAAAAATTATTGATTCATCGTTAATAATACGAAAGATACAGATTAAATAAAAGATATTTGAATAAAAGACAATTAATTAAAAGATAAACAGATTTAATAAAAGACATTTTATAAAAGGCATTTAATTAAAAGATAAATCAAATGTAATATAAAAAAGTTAGAGACAAATTAATTTTATTGACAACATAAAAAATATTTTCCAAGTACTCTATAAAAAAAAGATCTTTTTTTCTTAACTTCCTCCTCTTCATAGACTACAGCATCTTCTAAATTCTCTTCTGGTTCTAAAATAATACTTTTTTCTTCTATAAAAAATTCTTCTTGTACCACGGGCTTTATTTCTACCTTAGGCTTGACATTTTGCTTGTGTGATGGATTTTGTCCAAATGATATTTCATACACTTCACCTTTTGTACTTAAGTTGTTTATTTTGTAAATTTTGGGATTTTTTTCAGATTCATTCATTGGATTGTTTTTGTAAAACGTTTTATTTTTAATATTAGTAAACAAACAAATTACAAATAAAAAATAATATTTTTATTGGTTAAATTTTATTTGCGTTTCGTGTGGGGAAAACATAAGTACGTTGTAATGTAAAAATAAAAATATTTTTTAATTTTAAATAAATAAATTATTATAAAATAAAACGGGTGTAAATATAAAAATAAACTGTATTTTATCAATTTATCAGAAAAATAACTTTTAGCAATTTTGTATATTTGTTTATAGTTTATATTGTAATATTAATATAAATCTTTAATCAATATAAATTTAAAACAGGATAAAAAACAAAAAACTTTTTAAATTCTTTTTTAATAATTTTTTGTATACGAGTAAATGCGTATAATTCACTGATTTTTAAAAAAAAGCTAGAGCAGTTTTTGATTATATAATAAGATTACTTTTTAGTATAATAAAATTAAATTGTCTTTTTAAATTTAAATAATTTTATTCATTCTACATATTTAAAGAAATATATATATATAAGTATGGTATTCACCACATGTTCTTTATTTATTTTAAAATACAAGCTTAAAATTAAAATAAAAGGAAAAAAATAGACTAACTAGAGCTTAAAAAGGGCTCTTTCTATTAGATTTTATGTTTAGATAGCGGTATACTGTAGAAAAATTTTTATTTTTTATTAAATTATTAAATTGTTTTTTTTTACCGGGAGATTGAGAGAATCTGAATACAAATCGGGGAACTGAGAGAGCTTAAATATAAATCGGGGACTGAGAGAGCTTGAATACAAATCGGGGACTGAGAGAGCTTGAATACAAATCGGGGACTGAGAGAATCGGATCCTAAAAAACTACTAAGTTTGGTATAAAAATGCTATTCTATTAAGACCAAATTTTTTATAGTTAATTAATTGTTATTTATTTTTAAACCTCGTTTCTTTGTTTTCGTGTTAAATATTATTAAACTATCGTTACTTTATGACAAGTATAAGAATCTGACATATTTGTAAAAAATCAAACCTCGTTTGCTAACAGTTCATAAAAATTTTACAGCATGGCCATTTTTGGCCTATGTAAGGTTTTGTAGATTGTTAAAACTAAACTGTGTGAAGCTTAACTTCGTTTATTAGTTACGCTGTTAGAAGTAAAAAATAAAATTTATTTTTTTTAAAATATAAAAAAAAATGAATTTTGCATCGTGTATAAATATTAATAACGCAGAATTATTTATTTCCAATTTTCGAATCTTTTCTACGTATAAATTGTAAAGATTGAGTCATAAGTTAAACCCTTTACGGTTTATAATTACTAAGGAAAAGTTTGTGCATATAGGCATTATGCATGTCTTAGGCATAAAAATGCTTTTTACTGGCAAATTTTATTACAAAACATATTAATATACTATTTAAAAGAATAGATGCAATGAGCAACTATGTTATAAAATAATACAAATTACCTTTAAAAACTTTAATGATGATCATTTTTTTTAAAATCATCCCTCAATTTTTTTAGTCTACTGTAAAATGAATTGAATCTTCTGTCAACAGAAAATATTAACTTCATAAAAATCACAACTAAAAAAACAACAAAAAACGCTATTATTACCCCAATGTAAATTATTACAAATCGATTAAAAAAAAAGTAATAAAATAAAATAAGTTTATTATCCTTTAAGAAAGCTTCTACGGCACCAAAACTCAAAATCAAATAATCAGTGACACACACTAGCATACCTCTCTAGGGCCTTGCTTTTAGGAAGATATAGAACCCCGTAGGATTTATTAAAATCCATTAGTCATAAAGACCAAGACCTCCGCCCAGCAGGATTTGAGGTTTAATGCCCGGCTCAATACACCATTTAAGGACACAACTCAGTCAAGCGGAATGCTACGTCATAATATGCAGCTTTAAGCCAAACCCTTCCCAGG